CATCCAAGTGTAAACTAAAGTACAGCTCCGTGATTGCAGCTCGAGCTTTGCTCCACCCTGTGCTCACCCTGCCGCCCAGCATTGCTGGTGGTGCGGAGTCCGTAGATTTCGCCACTCCAGTAGGATGCTGGACCCAAGCGCAAATATCGCATCAACATGGAAAATTGCTGCTCGTGTGGTGCACACGGGCTAAAAAAAAACTGATTCACGGGGCAGTATCTATTCTTCAGACAGGCAAAACGGCTGGGAGACGGCAGAGAAAGTCTTCGGCGGAGAAGCACCAGGTGCCAACCGAGAGGCAAATACACGAACTCCAGCGCCGCACAGTGGCCGAGACGTCCAAGCCATCGCGCCGTATAGGCGGAGTGTGTTCGCGACAGGGGAAGACAATTTGGTGACATGGTTAGCTTTGTGCCTTCCAGCAGTGACCGTCCCCACTCCCCCATGGTGTTAACCAAGGCCGAGCGCCGGGAGCGCTACATGCAGAAGACACGTGCCGAGGCCAGTTACCTGTTCAAGTACCTCATCCTGACGCAAATCATCGTGTATCTCGAGGCTGGTTCCATCCCGTGTCTACTGGATCAACTCAGTGTGTCACTCAATCTGGACGCAACGCAACAAGGGGCTCTGGGTGGGGTTGTGTACCTGGCTCTCAGCGCAGCGTCGCCACTCTGCGCCTTCTTCCTCCACCGCTTCAACCCTCGCACCGTATTGGGTCTCAGTCTGTTGTGTAACAATGTGGCTGTGCTCATGTTGGCTCTCACACCCACGGGGTTCGCCTTCAGTGCCAACATGTTGATCTTGGCACGAGCTGCTGTGGGCTTCACACAGGCGTTTCCCTGTATTTACACGCCCTTGTGGGTGGACGAATACGCTCCACGAGAGAAGGTGGCCGGGTGGATGAGTTATCTGCAGGGGAGTGTCCCCATGGGCGTCATGCTCGGCTATTTCGCTGGCACGGTCAGTAACTGGCTCGTGCCCGAGAGTTTTTCACTCATCCAGACGTGGCGCTGGCCATTTCTGCTTCAGTTTCTGGCTCTGTTGCCCATTAACGTAGCCATCTTCTTCGTGCCAAAGAAACATTTAGTGATTCGCAGTGATAACGACAAAGACGCTGTGGGCAGTGGCGGCACTGAGAGCGCGAGTGCCAGTTCCTCTGATGGCTGCATGGACGACGCGCAGTCGCTCGACGTGGCGGAGGAGACGGCGTCGAAACGCAGTAACCAGGAGGCGCACAATGAAGAAGAGGAGGAAGAATCGCATTACAACGAGTTGGAGCCTTTAAACAGCAGTCGCGGAGGGTTCCTGAGCGCTCGAGGCAGAGCTGCCTTCGGTCTGCACAGCTTCCTGGACGACACGGTGGCTGGAACTCCCATGAGCACAAGATCCACGACGTATCACGACGAAGAAGACGCGTTGCTGGCCAGCGCCAGTATGTACGGAGTCAGCAGTCAACGCAGCGTCCGCCAGCTGCATCAGAACCAGCAGCAGTACCATTTGGGCCACTGTGAAGATGACAGTGGCGTGGCATCACTTCGTCGCAGTATGATCCGACCTCCGAGTATGCGTGGCGCTCCGCTGTTGGACGCAGTAGCGAGTGAACTGGAGAAAAGTGACGCTGTTGTTAATGCCTCTGCGTCAGTTAAAACGTCGCCGATTAACGCAAGAGCCGGCAACGAGCGCACATCGCCAGTGTCCAAGAGCTTATCTTCAACGTACGGCGCACTGGACACTGCTATCGCTCCCATGAGATCTCCTCGGATGTCCCCGCGGATGAGCATGTTGGAAGCCTCGATACTGGAAGAGGAGTTCATGGAGGTGTACGAACAGGGCGCGTTCTCCGAGGGCGTCTACGAACTGCTGCATATCCCCGTCTTCTGCTTGATCGTGTTCGGGCTCACGACTGTGTACTTCGTCGTCACGGGCGTGCAGTACTGGAGCACCATCTTCATGATCAAGTCGTTGCATGCGTCCAAGTATCTGGTCAACGCGCTGTTCGTCGTTGTCTCCGGTACTGGCCCAATCCTGGGCGTCTTCTTTGGTGGCTGGCTCATCGACAGATACGGAGGATACATCGGCGTGGAGCAGCGTGCCAAAGCCCTGGGAATCTGCATGATCCTGGGCCTCATCGCGTTCTCCATCTCAGCAGTGACGACGTTCTTCGACGACATCTACATCACTGCTGGGTTCCTGTGGCTCCTGCTCTTCTTCGGCGGCGCTATCCTGCCAGCTTGCACGGGCATCTTCATCTCGGTCGTGCCAGCTGAGCATCGAGCGTTGGCTTCGTCCTTCTCCGTCATGGTCTTCAACCTGTTCGGCTACGCGCTCTCCCCCTACCTCACAGGTCTCATCATGGAGTGGGTCATCTCGCAGCAAGGACAGACAGACACTTACTTCCAGTATTGTGACGAGGCCTGTGCCTATCGTATCGGCTTCCGCTTCTGTCTCTGCTGGTCTGTGTGGTCGGTTCTCTGTCTTGGCTCGGCGTGGCACATCGCGTCTCGACAGGCGGGAGAAGCTCGGCAGGTCCAGCAGTTCTACGCTGCGCAACGTCCACAAGTAGCAGAAGTTTAGGAATAGGCATGCACATACCCAATTAATCGTAAAGAGATTGTTAGCAAGACTTTAAAATGGACACATCAGTTTACATGCCAGTGCCAATCCGATCCACTGTAAGCGAATGGAACTTGTCGAGAGCGTCGCACCAACTTTGGATGGACGACTGGAACTTCTCTTCCGGTTTACGATCCAGCAGCACGAGTGTGTGATGAACCTGGTCGATACGAGCCTCGATCTTCTTGTCCAGGACGAGAGCAGACAGCAACGACTCGACCTCGGACAGAGGGATCCCGTTCAGCTCTCGAGCGATGTACTGCGTGTCCATCCTCCTGTAAGGCTTGATAATCTTGAGCAGAACTTTGCTGCGAATGGTGCGTAGGAGGCTGTCGATGTAGTGCTTGATGAAGGGGTCGTCCATGATGGCCTCCTGGTTGCGGTTCAGCACCTGTTCGAACGTCTTGATCTCGTCGTGTAGGAACGCGTCGGTCAACTTGGTCATGGCCACGATCTCTGTGTCGTTCTCGTACGGTTTGGCCTCCTGCGAGTCGAACACGTTCACCTGCGACTCGCTCAACATGTTGGCCAGTACCAGGTACTTCAGACACTGCAGGCGTCGAGGCTCACCAGCTTCGTCGTAGCTCTTGAAGCCCGAGAAAAAGTCGCTACGAGCCTTGTCCCACTCGCGCTGCATCATGTACATTTTGCCGCCGCATTCGTGGATCACGCCGATGATTCTCTGCAATGCAAAAGTTAGAACCGTCGCACAAATATCGCTGAGTCTTCTGTCCTTCTGCTTACAGGGTGTGCAACTCCCGACTTGGTGCGTAGAGCCTTCTCGTAGATGGACACCAACTTCTTGTTGTCTTTCTGTGCCGTGTACATCTGGATCTGCAGCGCATACACTTCCAGCAACTGCAGCAACATCAAAGTCAGCAGCACACCACGTAGCAAATTAAAAACCATCTTGAACTTACCTGTGAGTTTTTCCTGACGCCATCGTCTGCATCTTCATCGCTGCACGACGCCAGCAGCTCCTTAATTATCTGCACACATTACAAGGCCATCGTCAGTAAGAGAAGGTGCCATTTTACATCGTTTCCCTGCTGATCTCACCTTGCTCAGTCTGGAAAAGTCCCCAATCTCGTACAGCAAGTTGCCCAATTTCACACTCGTCTTGAACCACAGTCTCTGCAGCAACATAGCACAACAGTATCAGTATGTAGCCAACATCAACGCCTCCCTCTCAACAAACCTCGTTCCTCGCCTCCTTGAGCGTCTCCAGCGTCGTCTCGTAGAATCTCTGCAGGATCTCCCAGTTCTGGCGATACCCACAAACGTCAACTTACTCTGGAAAACCCTACTACAAACCCTATTTCCACCATACCTTGCTGGTCGACACAAAGTCCAAAATGCTGTTGATGCCCTTCTCCCCCACATTGCGCGTCACCGCCGTCTTCGTGTAGCCCAGCAGCTCCTCGTACCTCCTCATGGCTTCATCGTGACGCTGCAGCTCGAACAGCAGCTTGACGATCCTCTTGAGCGCCTTGAACCCCCAGTCTGTCTGCTCGTTCTGCAGCTCCAGCACTTGAGCCAACGCCCCCAGCGCCTCTTCTCGTCTCGGTGGCTCGCCCTCCAGCAGCTGTTTGGCCGAATAGTAGGCGTTCTCTATCTGCACTGCGGCCTCGACGTCCTCCATGTCCTCGTCCTCATCGCTGTAGTCGAAATCGTACTCCTCCTCATCGTCCGACATGGTGAAGATAGATAGATACTGTGGGGAGATGATACACCTCCGAGAGTAAATACGAGTGGTATTAAGTGATGGAGGTTTTGATGAAGTGGATGCATTAGGCGTGCCAGTATCCTGCCTGCGCAATGAACTCGGGGTGGAGACTGTGCCATCCTTGAGCCAAAGCTGCGTACAGTTCGGGATGCGAGCGCTGAAATGGAGCTGGATCCTGCAACGAGAAGATTGAGTCATGCTACTCACATTATCATCTTGCAGTGCGTTGCTTTCTTTACTCACCTCGGCGAAGCAGACGAAGATCGTGGCGACGGAGCTACTGATCACTGCAAGCGGCGTGAGCGCGACGCTGAAGCCGATTATGAAGCCTAGAATCGCCAAAAGGGCTGCAGTCAATAAGAAATAATGCACCATCAGCACAAAGTAGTTTGAACAGTAACCACGTATCTGCCACTCTTACTCGTACTGGACTCGAACGTGAATGCGTCGCTCAGCTCTGCGACTACCGCTCCAAAGCCAGCGCAGATCAGTCCTGCTCAAAGCACAAACAACTGTAAATGGTACTATCGCTTCAAAAATGGTCATGTGGACGCACCAACTCCAATTGCTGTGAGTCTGATCACGATATGGACAAGGTCGTCGTTAATGAGAGCAGTTAAGCCTCGCTGGTGAAATAGTTGGGACACAGCTTTCCCTGCGCTCATGAAGCTGTAGCCGTACACCCCGACGTAGACATACGCCCAACGATTGAAATATTCCATGATTGACTCTAGACAAGACAACAAGCACTCGGCAATGCAAGCAGCGGCACCTCGAGATTTGCGACTGGTTTTTGCCAGCTGCAAAGAGAACGATAGTTGTCAAGAATAACAGTGTTTTATCAATATTCTAGCACTTCGTACCTCGTGGAGAGTTTGCAGGATAGCAACAATTAGAGATCCGAAACAAATTGATCCGAACGACGTTGTCAAAGTGCGTTTCAACGAGGCGGTCGTAGTATTCAGTGATTCCGTTTGATACCAGAACGCTGCAACGGTTCCAGCGACAGTAGTGTGTACGACGTTCTTGGATACTTGAATGCCCCAGTAGAACGACAGCAGCAACAGTGCGGATGCCCAGCTGTAACTTCCTCCTTGTTGTGCTTGTGCACTGCTTGATTTTTGAGTGGAGTTGCTGATTACTCCTAGTAGCGCTAGACTGCACATTGCCATCCAGAAAATTTGCAGCATGGCGAACACTATAGCCACAACATACGTCGCCCTGTTGTTAGAGTTAGCAACTTCAGCTATTCGCAACTGGGCTACTGCTAGTGGGATACGGCGCTTCACGCTGCGTACATAACACCAATTCAATACCGCGATGATCACTCCAACAGCTACGAGAGCAAAGGCGCCAAAAGCGATGCCAATACCAGCGAAAGCTGCAGCGACCCCGAAGTTTAACCAGAGCACGAAAATGATCATACCGCGGGCGGATGACGGAATTATTTTCGTCATCATTACTGCTACGACCATCGCTAGTATCATCATTCCCGATGCCACAATCAATAGGGCTTTCGTGTCGTTGTCTGAAAGTGTATCGCGCAAATTGTTGTTGCTCTTAATGGCATTCACTCCCGACGCCATGAGAATTTGAATGACGCCAACGTTCACCACGAAGAGAATCGCAAATGGCCAATCCTGGTATTTCTTCTCGGCTGACTCTCTGCGGCGTGCAAACAAAAGGTTATCAAAGCTATTAGTTTAAGTTTCAACGTATTGCGTTGGGACTTACGGCTTTATGGGATTCACTGTGATATTCTGACCATCGAATTCATTGTGCCTGGTAGAGGAGTGGAATATTGTTAGTGAAAGCACAATAGTCATTTACACAAAAGATGGAGTGGTAAGTACGGCCTGATCATGTCCAGCCGATGGCAATGCGAGGTAGTGAACCTAGGCACCAACGACACTAGTAGAAAGTGATGCTTGGTTGATTACCAATTCCCAAGCTATTTTTCGAGTTTCGATCAGGTTGCTTTGGCCAAATATAGGCTGGGGATAAGTAAATTTACGAAGTGTAAATGTACTACTGCGGAGGTAGAGTTCAGAACCGAGAACCGAAACGTTTGCAAAATAATTAACTCGGATGATCCTAACATTTTGCATGTCGAGATGACTGTACATTCAAATCTGGGCAACCGGGTTCCAAGCGACTGCAGCAGTGCACCTTCGTGGTAAGTTTGCCGACATACATCCATTTGGGGATGCTGTGCCGATGCACCGAGAACTTCAAACGCTTGAAGTTAGTCGGGCCGGTCACACTCAGGTGTCAGCTATTACCAACAAGGTACTTCGAAGTAGAATTATCAGTGGTAACGTCCCGCAGCTTGACCTGCTTGACCGCTGATCTCATTGAAGCTGGCACTCATCGCAACAGTTGGCATAGCATCCCCATCTGGATTAAAACTCCTCTGCAGGATTAATAAGATCATTCGTGCCGGTGCTGAAGGCGGCACTGGTAATCGACGTCATGCCGCATGACATCGACCGTCACCAGTGTCTACGATGTCCTGCAATTTTATGTTTCTTTCGAAGGTAGCAACGCGACTGGTGCAGCAGGAGAACCAGTCGATGCCGGTTTTGGATTGTTCTGTTCGAATGGCCTTTTATGATCTGCTGCCGGGCTCTATCCCCCATCTGCTCGTGACTGCTTGATGGCAGCGTGAAGAACGTGCTTTTTCGCCGTTAGTGCAACCCGTGTCTCGCGTTTCATTGGAGACTCAGCAGACATCCAGCCTGATCACTCCAACTACCGATCCCAAACTTTTCCTACACTGCTCCCAGAGTCCCCGCTTTCGTCAACATGGCTGCACGGACTCGACCAGTTCACGGTTTGCTGTCCCGCCATTCTCGGTTTTGCCGTCTCTACCCGACATCTTCGGCTTGATTCTGAGACCATGACCATGGCTGAATCCCCGCAGACCGAGTACCTGGAGAAGGACACGCAGCGCTCGCAGCGTCGCTGCCTATGCTGCTCGCTCGGATTGGGTCTGATGATCACTGGAGCCTTCATCGCAATTATCGCACTGCTGTACGGCACGGTCGTGCCGGCGGTGATTGACAACGCGGTCAAGGACGGCGTCGCGACCTGTACCGCCTCGGATGGAGCCGAGGAGAGCTACCTGGACCCGTACGGCGACTGCGACGACTGCACGCCGTACTACTACAGCCTGCACATGATGAACGCTACCAATGCCGAGGCCTACCTTGCTGGAGACGCCGATGCCCTTGAGGTGCGCGAAATGGGCCCGTACACGTACCGCCGTCGCCAGATCAAGCTGGACGTTGAATTCTTGGACGATGGCGACCGCGTGAGCTACAAGCAGTACACGTACCACACGTTCGAGCCGGAAATGAGCTGCGACGGATGCTCCGACACGGACGAGGTCACGGCTCTGGATGCGGGATACATGAGCGTCATCGCCGGTGCTGGTGGTGAGATGGCATTCCTTGTGCGCTTGGCGCTTGGTTCGTTCGCTAAGGGCAGCAACACCAGTGCAGCTCTCGCTATCGTGGCTGAGAACGGCCCGCAGATGATGCGCTGGGTCAACGGTCTCAACTCGATGGACCCGGAGGCTATGCGTACGGTGACCAACAACAGCGCCGTGCTGACCTTCCTAGCCACTGGACCCGACGCCATCGCCGACATGGACCTCACGGGTTTCGCTTACAACGGTCTGTTTGCCAAGCGCACCATCTCGCAGTGGGCTCTCGGTTACCCGAGTCTTCTGGCTGGTCTTGGTCTCGGCTCCAACTACGTGAACCTGTGCGCTGTG